ACACACACACACACACACACACACACACACACACACACACACACACAGAGCCCAGAGTGGCATTTCCCTCTTTTCCCCCAAAGGACTTGAAGCTCCTGGGTTCTATTCAGCTGCCTTTGTCTGGGTAAACAGAGGGAAAGTTCCATGTTTTGTGCAAAGGAATTTGCAGGGACAATGAAGGTCAGAGCTGCGTGAAATTATACCCGCTGCTGGTGGAGAATTGATGTGCCATTAAGGAGGCAGGATTCGGGCGGCCTCAACACACAGAGAGCTCCTCAGAGCCCCGGCGCCCTCCTTTCTGTGGGCCCCACCTCCTAGGCACCCACACCTCCTTCTTCACAAATAGCACTGGCCTCCCATGGGTTCCCTTCTTTGTGGGCCCTCCTGAAGGGCTCTCATTGCCCCATGTGAGATGGCATAGTCATGTCTATCCTGGAAAAGGAGAGGGCTGAGACCGTGCCCTAGTTCCCCCCACCTGGGAGCTCCAAGGACTTGACACCATGGGTTCAGCCTTTCTGCATGCCGGTCCCAGACCAGGGGAGCAGTGACCCTGGCAGCGAGTGCCTAGTGATGCTGTGGCACCTCTCCGGGTTGTGGAGGTGGCCATTAATGATGTTAAATGATCCGGTAATTGCTCACACCAATTATCTCCCCATTAGTGTGCCTCAAAGCTCCCCTGATCATTTAACCCTGATGCAGCTGACTCAGAGGGGTGAAGGAGGGGACCCAGTGCTCACTGAATGGGTGCCAGGTGATTACAGGCAGAGGCGGCCTAGTTGGGATGGGGGGGGGGGCTCAAGTCAAGGGACCTCTTGGAGGCATTTCTCTCAATCTTTCAGAGGCGATAGGCTGGACCCTTGGTAGCCCACCAGTGATGAGTGTTGGTTAACCAGTGAGTACTATTCCCATTGCTAGCTAGGATCATTGGGGAAGTGAGGCAGGCTCAGGGTGGGTGGTATAGAGACAGAACAAGGGCTGTGGGGGCTCACAGAATGAACTACAACTGAAGGCCTGGAGGGAATCACTGCTGTCAGTGGCGGTCCTAAGCAGAGACTGGGGACCTGGAAGGGCCAGCTGGACATACTCAGAAAGCCATCTAACCCCAGAAAGGGCCTGTCCTCCAGACCAGTGCTCAGTAGAGCAGACAGACAGAAGATGCTGGGGGTGCCAGACGGGCACTGACGCCATCTTCCCCCAGCCAGATGGCAGCTCAGCCGGCAAGCCTGTCTCTGTTTGCAAATAATTGTCTCCAATATTTCTCCCCAGGGTGTGATAGGAGTGGAGAAATCTGTTTGTAGGCACGTGACCACATGCCACTGGACCAGGTACCCCCCTCCAAGGGTCCTACCTTGGTATCGGAAGTGGAAGGTCCCAGGTCCTGAGGATGGCAGGAGGCTCTGGAACCTCATGGCCACCTGGTTGGTGGGGCTTCGAATGACCTGGCCTGGGAGCAGGAATGATTGGTTGGCCAGGGGCAATGGCTCAGGGCCTCCCATACCTTCAACCGTCACTGTCTCACCCTCCAGCAGGCTTATGTTCTGGACCTGTGGGCACAGAGTAAGCCAGTCAGGGCTCCTTCACCCAACCCTGAGACAAGCATCTACGGGCCAAGCAGCCGGACCTGAAGTTTCCTGAGTTGTGGGGACCCCATGCTATCCTTTTCTGATACTCTGGGTTGTGTTGCTTACTCCTCTCCTCCCTTCCCCTCCCCTCCCTTGCTTTCCTTCTTCCCTCTCTTCTCTCCTCTCTTCTCTTCTCCTGTCCTCTCCTGTCCTCTTCTCTCCTTTCCTCTCCTCGCCTCTCCTCCTCTCTTCTCCCCTCCCTCCCTTCCCTTCCTTCTTCTTCCCTCTCTTCTCCTCTCCTCTCTTTTCTCCCCTCCTCTCTTCTTCTCCCCTTTCCTCTTCTCTTCTCTCCTCTCTTCTCTCCCTTCCTCTCTTCTCCTGTCCTCTTCTCCATTTTCCTCTCCTCTCCTCCCTCCCCTCCCTTCCTTCCTTCTTCTTCCCTCTCTTCTCCTCTTTTCTCTTGTCCTCCTCTCCTCTCCTCCTCTCCCTTCCCTCCCTTCCCTTCCTTTTTCTTCTCCTTAGCAGTGCTTAATAAATGCTTGTTTGAGTGAATAATTTCATCCAACTCCCTCATTTTACCATCGTCCCTTCTCCTCCCTTCCCCCTAAGCTCTGACCACCCAGGTGGAGGACAGGAACTATGTTTATTTCACTTGGTCTGTTCAGGACAGAGTACAATGGCAAGTCCAAATAGGTGCTTAGTGAATAGAGCAGGGAGTATTGGGAAGGGCCTTGGATTGTGAGTCTGAAGACTGGGTCTCTGCCACTAACTAGCTTTGGGACCTTGGGCAAGTTAAATGATGGGATTGGACTCCATCTCCAATGTTCTCTCCAGTGCTGTAGTACTACAATGTAGACTACAGTCTACAGTAGTAAATCTGACTTGTTGAATGGTAAGCACCAGCATGGTGGATAGTGGATGGATAGTGAACCTAGAAACCAAGACCAAGATTCCAGTCCTACCTCTGACTTCTACTGGCTATGTGACCCTGGGAAAATCAGCACTTAACCCCTCAGTGGTCCAGACAACTAAGTTACTGAGAAGGTGCTAACTTGCATTAGTAGAGTTTCCCATACCAACTTTCCAGTCTTATTTCATTTCCCTTCTCTTCAGGTACTCTCTGTTCCAATGGAACTGACCAACTTCCTTGTACATGACATTCATCTCTTGCCTTCATAGCTTTACACAGTCAGTTTTCCTAATCCAGCATGAACTTTCTCCCCACTTCTTCCTCTTTGTAAATTCCCAGTAGAGTGTAAACTTGTTGAGGTCAGGGACTGTTTCATTTCTGTCTTTGTACCTTAGCACCTAGCACAGTGTAAATGCTTAATGAATGCTGGCTGAATTGAATAATTAAAGCCAATCCCTTTGTTTTACAGATGTGGAAAATAAGGCTCAGAGAGGGGATCTGCTTTTGATTCCAGATCCAGTGCTCTTTTCACTACATTAGAGTTTGATCCAGATTACCAAGGGAGACGGATCCTAAATTAGCAAGGGCTTGGGTGGGGAAAGCTAAGGAAAAGGGTGCTTTAGAAATGGAAAGCTGGGGCAGCTGGGCGGTGCAGTGGATAGAGCACCCATCCTGAAGTCAGGAGGACATGAGTTCAAATTCTGCCTCAGACCAAACACTTGACACTTACTAGCTGTGTGACCCTGGGCAAGTCACTTAACCCCAATTGCCTAAATAAAAAAAAAGGGAAAGCTGATTTTCTTTGGGGGCCATATGCTTTCAGTCTAGACAGAATCATGGACCAACTTCTTTGGGTCTCAGTTTCCTCATCGCATTAAAATTTTTTGATGACTATTTCAATATAATGGGTTTCCTTTGTTTTTATTTCATACATTTAAAAACATTCTTCTGAGAAGGGGTCTATAGGCTTTACCAGTTTGTCAAACGGTCTATCACACACACACACACACACACACACACACACACACACACACACACATATTAAGGACCCCCCCCCACCCCGCCCTGACCCCATTCTACAGCTGAGGAAGTTCTGCCTTCAGAGGAGGTTGACAAAGTTGTGAAAGGTGAAGAAAGTCCTGCGACCCAAGGCAAATGGCTCCCAGAGCATTCCAAAGAGGGATGGCTGCTGTCCTTGGGAAACTGGATTAGATAGAAGAGGCCTTAGACCCAGGAGCAGATCCTGCACAGCCTGGCTGTTAAAAGAGTTAGCACAATCATAGGCTGACTTCATAGAAGTAATTGGGTCACACAGGTCACTCTCTCGCCTCCTTGCCTTTGCACTGGCTGTCCCTCGCTCCTGGAATGCCCTCCCTTCGTCTTTACCTTCGTCTCATAGAATTCTTTGTTTGCTTCAAGGCCCAGCTCAATTTCCACTTTCTGCATGAAGTCTTTCCTGATTCTCTCTCTCCCAGCTGCTGGAGCCTCCCTCACAAATTACCCTGAATCTATTTTTGTACCTATTTTGCATAAACCTACATATGGGCATGTCATGTCCTCAAGGGCAAGGACTGTTTCGTTCTTTGTATCCTTACCTCCCAGAACAATGCACGACACATAGTAGGTGCTTAATAAATGCTTGTTGGTTCATTGACTGGGAAAATAAAGAGGAGATGATAGAGTATCCTACTGGAGTCCAGGATGGGTTCCATCTGCATCCATTTCTTACCAGCACTTGAACCTGGTTCTTCTGATGCCAGGTTCAGTAGTCTGTCTATTACACTATAGAACTAGAGACTTTTCTCTTTTATCTTGTTTCTTATTTCTTTTCTCCCCTCCCCTCTTCCCTTCCTTCTTCTTCCCTCTCTTTTCCTCTTCTCTCTTCTCCTTTCCTCTCTTCTTCTCTCCTTTCTTCTCCTCTCCTCCCTCCCCTCCCTTCCTTTCCTTCTTCTTCTCCTCTCTTCTCCTCTCCTCCAATGCAGTGTTTAATACATGGTACCACCTTTAGACTGTGCATTCCTTGAGGATTCAGTCTTTTGCCTTTCTTTGTGTTCCCCAGTGCTTAGCACGGGTGCCTGGCACATAGTAGGTACTTAAAAATGCTTGTTGACAGTCTGACTGAAGGGGAGTGGGGGAGGGACAGCTTCCCTCTACTCTAGGCTGCCCCAAGCCCCTAGCCTGTCTCCTTTCACCCAGAAGCTCCCCATTCGCTGCCTCTCAGTTGACTGCAGCTCCCTGGGAGCAATGTCCTGGATGCCCTTCCTCTCGGATTCTGCCTCCTACTGTGCCCCACCCTGCTTTCCCCATTGTCCCCAATTCAGCAGCAAGGAATACCTCATCAGCTTCCATCTGCCCTGGCCCCCTGGGAGCCTGTCCTGCTTGCTCCCTTCTTCTCCCCATGTTCCCCGGCAGTTGTTTTTACCTAGCGTCCTTGTCTTTTCCCCAGAGACGTAACCAGTCGGGGATGAACCAGACTTTGCCTCAGGACATTGACATACAGTGGGGCGTGCTGCCTCCCTTTGGTGACCACCGTCCCTGAATGTGCCCATGTGGAATAAGAAGCTGCTGTGGTGACCTTCTTAATCAATCAATCAACCAATTAACAAGCATTTCTTAAGCAGCTACTGTGAGCCAGGCCCTCTGGTAGATGCTGAGGATAACAAAAAAGGCAGAACCATTCCGTACTTTTGAGGAGCTTACCCTGATAGTCTCACTTTCTTCCCCTACCCCCTCACAAGCAGTGGGGGTTAGACCTTCCCTCTCCTCGTGCCTTCGTAGAACTGGCCTCTTGGCATCTGCTGCCCACACCAAACCCAAACTGGTTTTGACTCAGTTACAAAGATTCTAGTTTTCTAGCATCCTACATAGGGTCATACAACCGCAGGGCTCGGCTTGTTCAGCCGCCTTAATTTACAGAGAGAACTGAGGCCCAGAGAAGTTGTCACATCTCCAGGGTCACACAGCAAGTGAGCAGTAAGATCGGAATAATTGGACCCCAGGGCCTCTGACTGATTTCAGCATGTTTCCCCTGAACTACAGCTTGCTTCTTCGCAGTTCTCATTCCTCCTCTCTGCTGGAATCCTCCGCGGATTCCACCCTGGCTCCTGGATGCCAGAGCTCCTGAGGGGAACTGAGTCGCCTCTTTCTCAGGAGACAGCGATTGGCTTCCCCGAGGCTGGAGGCCTCAGGAGGTGAAGTGGGGCTTAGGAGCTGCGAAGTCCGCACCTCTATCGTCAGGAGATAACGTGTTGCGTTAGAATAGAATTCTGAATCGAGAGTCAGAGGGTCGAATCTTTTCTTCCTGTGTGACCTCAGACAATTCGTTGCCATTGTCTAGGCCTTAGTGTCTTCCTTTGTAAGATGAGAAGGTTGGACTGAATGGCCTTGGAATTCTCTTCCGTCTCTGGTTCTGATCTTGTGTCAATCTGTCATTGTTAGCCCTTGGTATTGGGTGGGGAGGACACTGCAGATAGGGAGCTGTAGCAGAGTCTTCCAAAAGACAAGATGGCACCAGACCAGGGCTGGGGACCTTTTCTTTCATGTCTACAGGGCTGCAGGTGGGTTCCTTCTCTCATGGGACAGGGTTAAGTCCTGCCCTGGTCAGCCCTGTCTCTTCTTACCTCCCTGACTGTGCCTGTCACTTTGCTGGCCTGAGATCTGTCACTTATCAGAGAGCTGATGGGGTGGGATTGGGGAGGAGGGGCTTCGATGAAGTCTTGAGGCAATTTACAGCGGTCTGAAATGCTCCAGAGACAGATTGAAATGTCAGCCCTGCTCAGGGCTCGGCCATCTCGGAGCTACTGACGAGGTGGCTCCACATCCTGGGAGCAGAGGGAGGGGAGAGGGGCTGAGGAGACTGAGGACAGAAGGAGGAAGCAAGGCCATCCTCTGCCTCCACCTCAGAACCGTGCTGGGCTGGCAATGAACAAGTCAGCGTTGAGGAATTGTTATGGCAACAGGGTAGGACCTGAACCGTCCTCCCCAGGTCTTTACTCTCTGTGTTTTGGTTCCCCAGCCTTTCTTGGGATTCTGGGGTTCTCCTGGGAGGGAGAGGGGGACCTTGGATTCCCTT